CAATAACGGTCACCTTGAAAAACTTTTAAACTTACGTGTGTAAAGGTTAAGTAAGGCTTACATTTAAATGTGTCTTTGTTTTGTTTTGAGTGTATGGTCAATAAATAAAGTAATTAAAAAGATGGGCACAAAACCTGTTTGTCGCGCCCCACTTTTCATGTCTCATTCCCCACCACTGGGCCGCGCCCCATACTTTGAGAAACGCTGAGCTAACTTAACAGCTAACTTAGCAATGGGGTACCTCCGTTTGGGCAGAATTTTTCATCTTTTTGGCTGGTGTCGACCAACAATGAAAAATTGTTGTCTGGCTGCCTTTCAGTGTCCTTTTCATCTTTCCATCAGTTGTCAGCTTTCTACCATTCATCCCAGCGACTGCGCAAAATAGTGAACAAACTTGGTAGAGAAAGCGGGTTGGCTGGGTAATACCAAGTGCTCGGTGCGGTGGGCGGGGGGTACGTTACAGATTATTTAATGATACTATCTTTCTTGCTGGCAAATTAATTTAATAAAGAAAACGAAAAAAAGTATTCATTCGGAATATTTCATATTTCTTTTAATCTGAATGATGATATTGGGGGGGGGGGGGGGGGGGGGGGGTTATATTAGCTGGATCTGATTTTTGAGGGGGTCATGACCCCCATAACCCCCGTGCAAATTACGCGCATGCGTTGGGGCTGCATCATCTACAAGGTTCAAGATTCAGTGTTTTTGCGCCAACTGAAGCTCAAAAAAGAAAACAAAGGTGGCGGTGCAGCATCTATAAGCGGTGAGTGGATACAGCGGCTTTTTAATAATAGAATAAACTTTGTGTTTTCTTTGTAATTTAAGGTTTTTGTGAGCTTTGTAAATGTACAACACATTATCTTTTAGTACTTGATTTTTTATTTTTACATTAAAAAAATCAAGTTTTATTTTTATTTCAGTTAACTGAAATAGTTCTTACACGCCCATTATTTCAGTGTCATATAATTTTGTTTTCATTTACTACAATAACCTTGTGAAACCCTAATAATGAAATGGTTAGTAAAATAAGTGATTGTCACATGAGTTTTCACTTGTGCATTCTGTACCAGCTAATAAATGTTACAACTGCGATCATTTTCATTATTATCATAATTTAGTCAATGTTAATCAATTTCTATTTAATAGGAAAGGTTGCACCAGTGTATAATTATTCATTTAATGTAACCCTTTTCAGTCTGAATAAATTTAATATATTTTGTGCCCTTTTATGAACTAACTGTACCTTTTTTTTCTGTCAACCACAGGTTATTTTCCCTGCAGCCCCCGACACCAGTCAATATTGTCAATATAAGTGTAACACTATTTGTATTAGTCAATATAAGTGTAACACTATTTGTATTAGACTACACTGTATAGTACCACCATCATCAAAGAAGAGCATCTTCTATATTTTTGTGTGTGTGTGTGTATTATACAGTTGGAGCTACACATATTTTTTAAAACAAAATGGCGCAGAAGTACAACTCACGCTGGAGGAGAAAGGTGAAGAGCCAGCAAAATACTTGCAAAAGATACAGAAGAAAGGTTGGGAAATTTACATTTTATTGTTTTTATATTGTCATCTGCAGTGATTGAATATAAGCACATTCACCCAAGTTCTGTATTTACGTACCATTTGAGGTGTTGGTACTTAACTTGCCACTTGATATTTCCACTCCACTACATTTTAGGGAAAAATAATATTTTAATGTTTACTACACTACATTTATCTGATAACTATTTTCCATTTGCTTTACAGATTACATGAAGCTTCAGAGTCAAACCAGCACATTTTTAGATTAATTTACATGAATGACTTATCTGATTCAGGTCAATAACAAATCTGATAATTGGCCAGGACATAATCAACCAACCCATACATGTAAATATTATGTAGGCACATCATTTGAGGCGGCACATTGAGGGCAAATTATTGCCCTTGAGCTGGCAATCGCTGTCAGTAATGTGGATTAGCAGAAGTTACATAACAAAGCTTTTTTGAAGACCATGACCTCTGGCACACCATAAGGAACTTCTTGCATTGGCCGGGAATCGGACCCGGGTCTCCCGCGCCCCGGCCGTGGATTGTTCAGCTAAACGGCCCTAAACAGTTTCCCATTCATTTTCAATGGTAGTGCTAAAACACTACGGATGTAATATACCTTCGGCCGCTACGCCCTTTTGGCGCTGTTCCGAGTTTTTACAGAGCGTTTTTGAAAACTTTTATTCTAGACAAACTTCTGCGGAGACATCGACTCACTACCATCATTCACACTGATTTTTTATCTATCAAAGGTAAGATATGTTTTTTGAGATTAATTTAAAACTAAAGGGTAAATTTACAGTCATTGGTACAGTAGCTAGCATCGGTTGCATGATAAGAGATGACGTGTTATGAAATGAAGCGCCGAATAATTCATAAACATGATCGTTTTAATTATTCATGTGTATAGTTTTCATGTCATGACGTTAAATAAATAATCTTGTCAGTCCGTTTCTGACAAGGTTATGTTGATGAGTTAGCTCAGCATCGCTCGTTTTAGATGGTGGGGTGAATACGAGCTAGATAATGAATGAACATGATAGTCTTTTAGATTTATGTGAATGGTTTTCATTTTGTGACGTTAAATAACCTACACTCAAAAAAATTATATGTTGGCTTTACTTAACTTTTTTATGTAAACAGGTTCCACCGGTTCCACATAACTATGTTTCGTTAAACAAACATAATATGTTCATGTAACTTCAACATCATGGAATTTGGTCATTTTAAGCGACCCAATTAAACTCTGAGCTAATGAGTTAATTAAGTGAATAACTGAGTGATGATTGAGCATTATTGAAGACACCTGATGTTAACAAGCAGAATCTCTGAAGGAGAAAACCGGAATGTTTAAGTCACCATTATGGAGATAAGTATTTGTTTTAGTTGGGCTCTTGACCATTAACTTATTAACTTTAGATTTTGTTTGGTTGCTGTACATGAGTTATAACAGCCGGATGAACAATAAACAAAGGTCATCTGATGGTGTTGGTTGTGTTTTAACATAATCTTTATTTCACAATCATTTGACCTGAGTCACTGAACTTATATTAAACTGAATTTCTGAGTGAAGTTAACCTTACGAATAATAGCAGCACTGTCATTGTAGAGCATACTATTTTTAGACTTTTCAATGAAATTTAAATAAAAAATAAACTTCCTAAAAAATATTTTGAGTAGGCACACACAGACATCAAGAATCAGCCTGTGAATCTCAACAATGGTGACAATTATAAAGCATGTTGCAGTGCATTCTGGGTGCCACCAATCAAAACTCATTCATGGCTCCCATCATGCATTGCTGCATGAATAAATAATGAGCTTATGATCTGTTTGTCACCATTGCTGAGATTCATATGCTGATTCTTGATGTCTGTGTGTGCCTACTCAACATATTTTTTAAGAAGTTTATTTTTTATTTATTGATTTGATCATTTGAATTTCATTGAAAAGCCTAAAAATAGTATGCTCTACAATGACAGTAAGGTAAACTTAACTCAGAAATTGGGTTCAATATAAGTTCAGTGATTGAGGTCAAATGATTGTGAAATAATGATTATGTTAAATCTCAACCAACACCATCAGATCTCCTTAGTTCATTGTTCATCTGGCTGTTATAACTCATGTACAGCAACCAAACAAAATCTAAAGTTAATAAGTTAATGGTCAAGAGCCCAACTAAAACAAACACTTATCTCCATAATGGTGACTTAAACATTCCGGTTTTCTCCTTCAGAGATTCTGCTTGTTAACATTAGGTGTCTTCAATAATGCTCAATCATCACTCAGTTATTCACTTAATTAACTCATTAGCTCAGAGTTTAATTGGGTCGCTTAAAATGACCAAATTCCATGATGTTGCAGTTACAGGAACATATTATGTTTGTTTAACGAAACATAGTTATGTGGAACCGGTGGAACCTGTTTACATAAAAAAGTTAAGTAAAGCCAACATATCATTTTTTTGAGTGTAGCATACATTTAATGTGTTGATAACTCGCCTACAGATAGGCCTATTGTCTTACTGTCTGATTAATTATACATTGCACTAACCAAAATCTTGACTACCAATTATCAATACAATCTCAGACTGAACCATTATTTTTTTATGCCATTAAAAACATTAAAATCATTAAAACTTTTTTTAATGTATGAAAAAGTATTGTCTTCTTGACCTTTTGAACTACAGTATGTGACTGAAGTTTAGAGATCAAAGATTGAATCAAACCTTCATCAAACCTTGTGTGATCCATTTCTCAATATTTGTATTTTTTTCAAAACTCTACACAGTTCTCCAAACCAACTTTCATCTAGGGACATGCACAGCAATTAATTTCACATTCAAAATGCACTATTTCTATCAAAACACTTTAGCCTAGATCTCAAATCAGCTCTTTCTTACAGAACACTAGCAAAGTTTTTCAACCAACAAACACACTTTGTCAATCATAAAACACAGACCAAAAAAAACACCACTAACATCAGGAGCATTATACAATATTTTCTTTTTTTACAATTTCTTTACAAAACAAAAAGAGTCTTTAATGTGTAACGTGTAATTCATTGCAGTTTATGTTATTGATGTTTACATTACAGTACAAAATGATCCTTAAGTTTTCCCTTTTGAATGGATAGTAATGAAATTGAAAGACTAACGCTTGTGTAGGTGTTCAGATTCATCTAAATTGCTTTGATAGTAGACAAAAACAATTTTTTATTCAGTTTACAGTTTTGTATTATGTTATTACGTCAAAGTGAGAAAATAATTAATGTAATTTGAAAGATGTAGTCGTTGAATGCATTTCGTGCCAGCGCAATGATAAATGATCCACAGTTGAGCCCACATAGATTTCTGTTGTGCTCACTGTGTGAAGAGTTTTGCAAAAGTGACCTAAGAATTGAGAAATGTGTAAATTAAACCTAAAATTATCTTATTCTTTCAAGGTAGATCAAGATGCAGAAGAAAACTATGTTCTTCCCAGGGAGAATCTGTGTTGTGTTCCGCAAGGGACCACTCGGATTTCTCCTCCAGGAGCCGTCTAAAGAAGCTAGGCGGATTAAGCACGACCCCACTCAGCAGGACAAGTCTGTGGCCATGAGGGAGGACCTTGTGCGGCAGAATGCTCTGGCTGTGGTCCGTCAGAGAGGAGGGGATGCCTCAGACAAGACGGAGGTGTTGGGAGACTATATCCTGCAGTTTGGGAAATATAAAGGGAAGTCTTTCAGGTGGCTTTTACAGAATGATGTTGGGTACACTATGTATCTCATCAAGAACCTCCGGAAGGAGGAGGCATCAGGCATCTGTATGTCTGAGGGGCATGGCAAGGACAGCCTACAGTCATTTGTTAATTATGCTCTTAGTTTTGGAGAGATTCAGTCTCTTCTCGCCTATGAGGCCAGTGGAGTGGGTGTTGCGGCAGCCTCATCGGAAGATGACCAGCTGGTTGGCTTTGGTTCCCGGGCCAAGAGCACCTGGAAGGAGATATGGGATGGCAGAGCTGATGGCTATGCAGACTTCATCTTGGGGAAGAGCTGCGTCCCAGGGACACGCATGTGCAAGTTGCAGCAGTACCTGAGGAAGAGGCAGGAATCTGCCACTGCTTCGACATCTGCAGAGCATGCCTCAAGGGCCCCAGCTAAACCCCTGGGTAGGTTATCCTATTAACATTTTTGTTCACATTTTTTTAGATTAAAATTACTATTCATGTATGACCAGAAATAGACTTTTAATTATTTCCTCTATACATCCATGTTTAAATATACATGTGAGAAATGCGTATAATTCATCCTAAATTTGGAAAACAAATGATTGTCTGTGCCACAGTGATGGATGACGATGAAGAGCTGGAGAGGGCGATGTTGGGCATCTCACGTTCTAAGCTACAAGTGCAGAGCTGTAAGTACACTGTTATTACACTGACCAAATGTCAGAATTAATGATGATCTATGATCTATTTTGTATCTGCTGTCTTCCACATTTATTTCTCTGTGTTTGTGTGTAACCAGTTGCTGTGCCAGTAGCTGCAGCTGTCAAACCCAGAGTGTCATCAGGAGCAAAGAAAGGTGTTTAAATAAAAGGTTTCAGGGCTGGAGTACAATTCTTTTACATAATGAAATGACCTCCAAAACTGAACCTTCACTTAACTGGTTATATTGTTTGTGTTCTGGCCATGTTCTGGCCATGTTCCTCTAACAATATGGTTGAATGCTGCTGTTTTACTAACTGTCCTAAGGACTATGAATTGATCCTAGCATGATGAACTGATTCCAACCGCAAGGAGGGTAAATATGCACTTTTTGTTTTCCATTCATGATGTATTAAAAACAAATTAAGTAGCGTTGGGTACTAACACTTGAATGCATGCTTGTTCATTGAGTTCTTACTAACACCAACACTTGCATATATTGTGAATTCTGAAATGACTGATGATTTTGTCTGTTATAGTTTTATCTGAGGCACTGTCCAAACCAAATCCTGATACAACTGCTGAACTGCAAGCATCACCAGTTGATGGAACAAACACTGTGATCAGGTTCATGTAGTCAAATGTTGAGTTAATTTTGGTTACATAAAAATAATAATTGGTATATTTACGTTCATGTAGCTCCAGGCCTTAAGAGGAAAACACCTGTGCCCCTTCCAGCAGAGCTGGAGTTCCTAGTAAAGGAGACAACAGCAGAGATGCCTGAGTCAACTCTAGGTATGTTTCCATTTTAGTTTAGGACTGATACTCAATTACACATCTGCTAAATGTGCAGATCTGCCCAGGATCTGCCTTCCTTCTCTTTACCTCTGTACTGATGAAACGTTGTCGGGATAATTCCGATTCACGTGGCTACGCGGAAGCGCTAAAAAAATACTCAGAGCCACCAGGCACTGTTTTATGCAAATGAGCGGCCGGATCGCATTAAAGGTTTTCTGTTAGAACGGTGTCGTGTTAGCGGCCCCTAAGTTAATAACTAATGATTGTTGCGATGGAAGTGAATCAATCAAAACTAACCTTAGCTGGACAATAACTTTATTCTAGAGCTACAAATGCAAAACATAAAGACTGCACTTCTTTTTAGGACCCCGCACAAGTGCTGCTGGCACCTCTGCATGCAAAGCGCTTGCCTTTGAGGACAGTGGCGATGATGGTAAGAATGAACAGCATGTAAACAACCCCTCCATTTTGTGAACTCCTGACACTAAGATGTTGTCTTAACTCTGCTTTAATCATTTTGTTTTTCACACTATGCAATCTATAATAATAATCAGTGCAGTACAGTCTTTTTGTCCTATCCATTTTTCTTTTTAAATCCTAGTTCCCTCAGCTCAGCCATCCATTCCTGTTCCTGTTCTCCTGCCTGGGCATGACCACGACATGAGCAACTGGAGCTGTTCTCAACACCAGAAGCTGTGGATGAGGATAGAGCTTCAGGATCTCGGGCTGTGGCCTGGGTCTCGTTCAGTACGTAACCCAGGGAACACAATTTCACTGTGGCATCTTCCTCCACAACCTGAGCTTGTCGATACTGTGGCTGCGCTCCCATCTTCCAACTTCTTCCAGCTCCACCTATTTTTCATCTGGAAGCCAGAGAGTCACATCATGGTCAGGTTGAGGAACAATTACCTCCTGCCATGTCTGCATGGATGTCCTCATCCACAGGTGGTCTCTGCAGGTGTGGGCAGGCCCCGAGTGATTGTTGGCACCAGTGGCCAGTATTACATCTTGTCCTCACGTCTCTGCTGCAAGGCCTGTCGGAGGAACTGGTTTGCTGACAATCCACGATGGCTTGAGAAGCTGCCCAAGCGGTTTACCAACCTTCTGCCCTCATTCCTGACCTACAAGAAGGCCATTTGCAAGTCTGTTATGGATGAGCTGAGGCGCAGTGGCAAGTCACCAACCGATATGGCAAACCAGGTGAATGAGCTCATGCACCTCAAGTATGAGCGAGCTCACCTGGCATACCTGCATGCCATAGAAAGCGTCAGGGATGCTGAGGCCGGCATACATGGACAGAGGACTATTGGGCAGTTTTTGAGGAAGGAGAACACGCCACGTGCTTTCGGGCTTTATGACGACCAAGATGGCTGGTATGGAGTCTCCGTGTCCAGCTTCTACCTGACCGACTGTCTACCAGATGAGTTCAGACGTCAAGAGCCAGCCATGACCAAACTACTGCAGGGCACTTTTGGGCAGGTCCTCAGGTCAGACCACACCAGGAAAGTTGCAAGAAAAGTAACGCTGGCATCTGGTGTCATGTCCAGTTATGCCATCATGAATGAGAACTGGCTGATTGTTTCATGGGTGATGGTTCAGTCTGAAACTGAGAGGTCCTTGGAGCCGATGTACCAAGGAATGGCCAAGAGGTACAGCGATGCTGGAGTGGAAAAGGCAGGCTTCCACTGGATGGACAGGTGAGAACAGCCATCTTTTCTCTCACCACTGCCATTCAAACAGCCAATGTCATGTCTAATAACTAGTGCTGTCAATCGATAAAAACAAACAAATTAATCACACATTTTTTCTGTAATTAATTGCGATTAATAACAACATAGAGACAGTTGTTTATATTTTAAATATTTGTTTATTGCCATCTTTTTATGAAAGCCACCAATACCGCTACTGATGTCTTGATGAAATTGATTATTTTTTCTCAATTTTAGCTATTACAGTTTTTTTCAGTCGCTAACAAGCGTTTGTCCAACCAGTTGTCACCTTTTCAAAACTCTAAACACACTTAGCACAGCATCGGTCTTTTGTGGCCATACCATTCACACATTTCATGTCGTTTTTACACAATATGCAGTCAGTGAACACATTTCCGCAATGCTTACATTTTCTTAACAGACAAGCTATACCTCCCAACAAAATTATGGATTGTTTTTGTAGTATTTACAAATGTTAACACATACTATCCCACAATAGCAAAAACAATATTCCAAACCTTAGATACAGTATAAAAACCTCTGCTTCTGCAATGATATCAGTTCAAAAACAATATATCTGAGCTGATAATAAACAAACAATTGAATAATTGACACACAGCTGATTTATGTTGGGTAAATTGGGCCAACCATAGCTGATTCCAGTCTGGCTTAGACTCAGTGGCAGGGGTTATTTTTTTCTATTACATTGGCACTTATACAGTAAAAGGAGGACTTTGAAGAGTGATGTTTTTGGAAACAGAAACAGAAAAAGACAAACACTGTAATGTCTGGACGAGGAAGATTAAGAGCAAGGGGCCCAGGGAGAAGAGCAGGCCCAGTGAGAGGTGCAGTGAGAGATGCAGTGAGAGGTGCAGTGAGAGATGCAGTGAGAGGTGCAGTGAGAGGTGCAGTCAGAGATGCAGTGAGAGATGCAGTGAGACGTGCAGTGAGAGATGCAGTGAGAGGTGCAGTGAGAGGTGCAGTTAGAGATGCAGTGAGAGATGCAGTGAGACGTGCAGTGAGAGATGCAGTGAGACGTGCAGTGAGACGTGCAGTGAGACGTGCAGTGAGAGATGCAGTGAGAGGTGCAGTGAGACGTGCAGTGAGAGATGCAGTGAGAGATGCAGTGAGAGATGCAGTGAGAGAAGCAGTGAGAGATGCAGTGAGAGGTGCAGTGAGACGTGCAGTGAGACGTGCAGTGAGAGATGCAGTGAGATGTGCAGTGAGACGTGCAGTGAGACGTGCAGTGAGAGATGCAGTGAGAGGTGCAGTGAGACGTGCAGTGAGAGATGCAGTGAGAGATGCAGTGAGAGGTGCAGTGAGAGGTGCAGTGAGACGTGCAGTGAGACGTGCAGTGAGAGATTCAGTGAGAGATGCAGTGAGACGTGCAGTGAGACGTGCAGTGAGAGATGCAGTGAGACGTGCAGTGAGACGTGCAGTGAGAGATGCAGTGAGAGATGCAGTGAGAGAAGCAGTGAGACGTGCAGTGAGAGGTGCAGTGAGACGTGCAGTGAGAGGTGCAGTGAGAGGTGCAGTGAGACGTGCAGTGAGAGGTGCAGTGAGACGTGCAGTGAGACGTGCAGTGAGAGATGCAGTGAGATGTGCAGTGAGACGTGCAGTGAGACGTGCAGTGAGACGTGCAGTGAGAGATGCAGTGAGAGGTGCAGTGAGACGTGCAGTGAGACGTGCAGTGAGAGATGCAGTGAGAGATACAGTGAGAGGTGCAGTGAGACGTGCAGTGAGACGTGCAGTGAGAGATTCAGTGAGAGATGCAGTGAGACGTGCAGTGAGACGTGCAGTGAGAGATGCAGTGAGACGTGCAGTGAGAGGTGCAGTGAGACGTGCAGTGAGAGGTGCAGTGAGAGGTGCAGTGAGACGTGCAGTGAGAGGTGCAGTGAGACGTGCAGTGAGAGGTGCAGTGAGAAATGCAGTGAGAGGAGCAGGGCCAGGGAGAAGAGCAGGCCCAAGGAGAGGGCAAGGTAGAGGTGTAAGAATGTGTGGTGGTGGCATTCCAAGGGCTGCAAGAACAGCAGTCAGTGATGAAATTCGTGATGAAATTCGTGCCACTATCATTGACCATGTAATCAACCACGGTCTTTCACTAAGAGAGGCTGGTAAACAGTAAATTGAAAAAAACTGATTTGCTTTTTACTGGAATGCTTTTGAATGTGAACATTACTGTACATGTGGACATACAGTTCCCAAACAAGAAATTTAGTGTAATATTGAAAAAAAACCTGTAACTATATGCATTCAGCATTACAGTATAATGGAAAGCTATAACTTTAAAATATTATTATAAGGCTTTAAATAATATAACAACTTCTAATTTAAGTGAACTTAAAACAATCTTCACATAAACCCATTATATTAAATGCCACATTTACCTGTGCCTTCAATACACTTTCAATATATATTAATTTCTTTTCTATTGGCCCAGTCAGACCAGTTCAGATTTTTATTTGCCCTGTCAAAAAGCACAAAAAGTTATTGTTTTCATAGTTTATGACTCATCTAACCTTGTAAACAGTTTTTTATGATGTTTAGGTAGGTATATCAGGTAGGATATATACAGAAATTCAAAAAGTAAAAAAAACTATCAAAAACTTCACTGCATAAATTATAAATTAAATATACATTAATCCTTCATAATAATTAATTAATCCTCTAAAGCTACAAACATTATTCAGTCAAGAGCAGTGAGTGATTTACTTTTTGTTTTGTTCTTTGATTAAAATGTATGACAAACAGTAAAAATTATTTACATTTTGACAGCACTACTAAAAACAAATTCAGTTTCTTTAAAAAAAAATCTAAATTGATCTACATCTTTGTGCCTTGCATTTAGGGATTGCTGTGCTCCATTTAAGATCCCAGACTGCATCCCTGGTGAACATCTACACTGGGATGCCTGGAAGACTACCCCTTCCATTGTTGCTGGGGCCACCTCTGGACCCCTGGAGAACACCTGTGCCTCACGGTCACATTTCAATCACAATATTGTGGTGAAGCTGGACTTGTTCCATTGCCTGAGGCGTTTTTCACGGGAGTGCACCTCTGAGCATCACCTTCTGTTCAGCACTTTCTGCCAGCTCCTCTCCGCAGCCTTCTCTGTGGTGGATCAGGAGGATCTAAAGAGGCTCCAGGATGCCTATAGGTTCTGTGATATCCATCCAGCCAATCCCACCAAACAGCACATACGGGAGCACTGCAGGACCAAAATACCACAACCCACAGAGGTGCTGGACAGAGTGGAGAAAGTCCTGAAGCATCTCCACCAGGCCATGGACCCCAACAGTGTACCACTCTTCAAGCCATCCATGCTGAAGACTTGGCGCATACAGAGAGTGCACATTCTCCGCGGTTGCCTCAGTGACCCTGAACTCTCTGAGGGCATAGGCCTCGTTTACACTGCAGGTCTTGATGCCCAATTCTGATTTGTTGCCTATATCCGATTTTTTTGACCGCCCGTTTACACATTCTTTAAATTGTGACCCATATCCGAGTCATGTGTTTACACTTGACATAGATCCGAAACATCGCGCATGTTTAAAGGGGTCTTCTTGCACAGATGGACGAACGCGCAGCGAGATCTCAGGACTGGTGGGAACATAGCCTACAACACGATCTCATGAAAGTGAGTGTCTATAGCACGAATTTGATTTCATGTGCCATTTATACGCCAAAAATAGTTTTTGCTTGCATATGACACGCACTGTAAACGTGCGTATTAAACGCCATAAAGTGCGTATCATACACGCAAAAAACTATTTTTGGCATAAATGCCACGTGAAAAGAAAAAAATCCGTGCAATAAACGCACTTTCATGAGATTGTGGCGGGCTTTAACGAGGAGCAGTGGGTCCGAAATTTTAGGATGAGCAAGCCAACCTTTGATGTTGTGTCAACATGTGTCCACATTCCTCTACTATACGACCACACAATGTTTCGTCGGGCCATCCGTCCCTTCGCAGATGCGCGTCGGGGTTTCTCTCGTCATTAAACCGTGGAGACGCAGCCTAATGCCTCAGAAAATCCGATCTGCCTGTTTACATGACAGTCGCATTGGCACATATCTGATTTATTTCCACATATGAACGAGGCCTGAAACCGATCTCGAAATATCCGAATGCATGCGTTTTTTTCCTGTTTACACTGTCATAGAACACATCCGATCTGTGTCGCATATGAGTAAAAAATCGGAATTGGGTCACATTTCACTGACAGTGTAAACGAGGCCATAATGTACCGGTATGGTGGAACTCTTCAGCTAAACCACGTACCCGGTGAAGGCGCCAAAGTCCCCATCTGGATCCCCGTCAGAGGTACGTCACAGCAGGAGGGGTACCACTTCTACCAGGCCCAGTGGATCACTGGGACTCATGTCTCCACTGAATTGTTCCAGGCCCAGGGCATGACAGGGGTGGCACGCTGGAACTACCAACGGCTGGTGGACCTTAAGCAGCCAGGTGTCATCCTCCCTGCTGTGTTTGACCCAGCACTAATGATGGAGTTAAATTCTGCCTCAAAGAGAGTGACTGGGCAGGAGAAATACCCAGCACTTCATCGCTCTGACAGAGACACCGGAGAGAGGTTTGGCCTAGAGTACACAGAGCCAGGCTGCCGTCCAGTTCCTCTGGATTGGGACAAACACCGAACCCAAAAGAGAGACGAACCAGCTGCTCTTGTGCCTCTGCCTCCTGTGCAGACATGTGGTCCTGCCCAAGCCCAGGCTCCAGATTCAGCACTCTCCCCCAGCTGGACTCCGCTTTCCGGCACGGCATCCCCAAAAACGGCACCATCCATCGGTCGTTCGCTCTTTGCTGGTGCACTGCTAAAGCAGGAGATGCCGTCAGAAGACAACCAGGCACCTCCAGCAGCGATGGGTAAGTTAACATAATCATTTTAGACATACATTTTTGCATGATGTTTTAATGTAACATCATGATCATCTGATAAACTGTTATTGCTTTATTGTGTTCCAGAAATCTCACATGCCATGCCCCTCCCGCTGAGGTCCTCGCCGAGGAGCGCTCGCACAGGACCCATAAAGACGGGTGGAAGGGTTTTTGTGTTGGACCACACACGCTGGACGCCGAACATGAAAGAAGCTATCGACAGCTTGCTGCAGAAGTACCAAGGGGAAAAGGACATTCTGAAGCTTGTGGATCGAGACTATGCTGAAATGGTCCATCAGTCTGCCACAGATCCCAATAGCTTGATGTACCCCACAACCAAGCTGCACATATCCCGCTATGTGAAGCACCTGGCAAAACTCCTCAACACCAGTTCCTCTTTGAACACAAGCCAGGAAAAACTTCTGGAGACTCAGCAGCTGTGGCACTCTTTAACAAAGGGGAGTGAGACGGCTAGTGTTCCTGTGGTCACCATGGAGCCGGCTATTGTGAACCCACCTGCAGCTGCCCTGTCCACACCTCTGATACAAGACTCCATTGAGAAGATTGTGGAGAGCATCTTGGAGAGGCAGCAGCAACAGCATCGGCCAGAGCAAAAGAAAAGGCAGACAAAGACGTGTCTTGCTTGTGGACAGCCCAAGTCTCAATATGAGACTGATGGATCCTCCATCTGCTTTTTCCACCAGCAAGGGCCTGTGCGCTACTTCTATTGTTCAAAGAAGGTGCATCAAAGTTATGCTGCTGAGTACCCCAACATGCCTTTTGGAGAATTTGCACAGACAGAATTCTTCCAGAGGGAGCTGGAGGCCACCAAGAAACGGGTGGAGGAGAAGACGGAGAAAAAGAGGAAAAGGCCAGACTCCCAGCAAACAGGCCGCCGGTGCAGATTCTGCCACATGGACCTGAAACAGGAGCCAAACAGCCCACACATCCATACCGGCTTCCCTGGAGTGGCAGGGAAATACATCTACTGCCCATCTAAAGTGTACTCTCTATACAGAGATAAGGGCATGGCCAAGGAGATGAACTGGAAAGAATTTCAGCAGTCTCCTTACTATGAGGCAGAGAGGCAGAGATGGGTGGATGAAAGGAAAAAATAAATGTTTATACTTAAATAAATAAATTATTGTAGATGTGTATGTTCTGTAGGTTTATAGGTTTTCTAGGCTTCTGTATAGATGCTCATATATTTTGAATAGATGTAAATATGAAAATGTACCAATGTAAATAGTTAGTTTGGGTTATTTTGTCCTACACTTGTCATTTTAATTTAATCATTGTAAAAAGTTATATTTGAAGGCTAACCTTAAATGCTCCTTTTTTTCTACAACACTTATCTTATCATGGCACACTATTTTCATCCTTACAACCTGCCTTTTTGAATAGACTGATGCCTTTTTTCTGGGTTTGTCTGTTTTTCAGATAGAAAGTCAGTGTTGCAAATCAGGTTAACCCTCTGGGGACCAGAAACGCGCCCGCTCGTTTTTTTTTTAGCAATGCAAAATAAACTCAAACTGCTCTGTTAATTTTGATCTTTCATGTCCGTGTTATACATCAATCGATCCTGTTCAGTTTCTATTTTTTTTCTGTATACTCACAATAAAAATAAAGTGTTTTGCTTTTTGCCAAATAATGAAAAATGAACATGATGCGAGTTCTTCACTCTCTCTGTCAGCGAACTCCAATTTGAAACGCGTTCGGAAATGATCTGTAACTCCACGAAAATTCAGTCAAACAGGCAAACATACCCACGGGCATAAAGCTAGAGATCGCATCTTTTAAATGAAGTCATTTATATTAAAAACAAATATTCTCAGCTTCTGTAATCTGTATGAAAATAGAGCGATTCCAGTCGAGCTCATTACGAGCTCATTCACTTTAATTCGTTCACGCCTACTCCCGGAGCGCGCTATTCACAAGATAATGTGTTAAGCCATCTATGGAAAACAGGTAAACGCCCCCAAGCAAATGCATTAAAGGCTTCAAGTTTCATCATTCAGTTCACCTGCGCGTTAGGAAGATGGCACGATACACCGGTGTAGAAGCTCTTCAGCTCGTCCTGGATACTAGCGACGAAACGTTTGATCGAGCCATGGATAGAATTTCGTATGAGTAAGTATTTAGTCTTACTTCCATTAGTTGACAAGCTATTCAATATAAACATGTAGCTTACATATTATACTGGGTGGACTATTTTCCACTTGCCATCCAGAGTATTGACATTTGATATATTCAACACGATCTAATGAAAGTGCATATCTATACCATGAATTTAATATCTCGTGTTAAAGAGAAAAATGTTTTTTTTTTTTTTTTTTTTTTTTTTTAGTGCATGCTACGCACTGTAAACCCCAGTTAGGAAATTTGTATGTGTAAATGATATGTTTAGATCATTGTGTATGAAAGCTGTAGAAGTTATTTTAGAAAATAGGCCTACTAGATGTTTAGATTATATTTTGACTAGTTTAAATGCTGCCTCATTATTATCATTGACGATGCATGCTCGCAAATTAATGCTCCCAGTTAATGACTTGCGCAAATGTGTTTTGTTTGCGGTGTGCCTCTCCGGCAATGGCCCATTGACACGCATATTTATTGCACTCGCCTAAAATTATTTACATCAGTTATTCATTATAGACTAATGCTGCTATGGTTATATTTATGTAATAATATTCTGTTCTCACCACGCACAGAAGGCAGCGCAATACTGCTTATCTGCGCCCTTTTCTCTCATCCTCACACTCACCTCTCAGTCTTTCTATGGGTCTATGGAATTGTCAATCAGCAGTCAATAAAGCTGACTTCATTCCAGCCTTTGCATCTCATTCTACTCTTAATATCTTGGGCTTGACTGAGACCTGGATCCGTCCAGAAGACTCAGCAACCCCTGCTGCTCTCTCTAACAACTTCTCTTTCTCTCACACCCCTCGCCAGTCGGGCAGTGGTGGGGGCACTGGTCTTCTCATTTCTAACAATTGGAAATATTCACCTCTCTCTTCTCTATGCAATAACAACTCATTTGAATATCATGCTATTACACTTACAACTCCCATGAAGATCCATATTGTAGTTATTTATCGCCCCCCAGGTCAACTGGGAAGCTTTGTAGAAGAGCTGGATGTGTTGCTGTTCTCTTTCCCTCAGGATGGCATCCCACTTGTAGTCTTTGGCGATTTCAACATTCACCTAGCGAAGCCGTATGCAACAGACTTCATCTCTCTCCTAGCCTCTTTCGATCTCAAACGGCTCATCACCACCGGTACTCACAAGTCAGGCAACCAACTGGACCTGGTTTACACACGCAACTGTCTCACAGACAACATTTTGGTGAAACCTCTCCAAGTTTCAGATCATTTCCTCATTACTTTCAATCTACAACTCACTACCCATGCTCCACCAACCTCCCCACCATTTACTTTCAGACGAAACCTGCGCTCACTTTCTCCATCCCATCTTTCCTCTGCTGTGTCATCTTCTCTTCCCTCACCCTCACATTTCTCATCTCTGGATGTGAATACTGCAACGGATACTTTATGCTCCATTCTAACCTCTTCTTTAGACAATATCTGCCCTCTCTCCTCTAGGCCAGCACGCACCACTCCCTCTAACCCCTGGTTATCTGAGGTTCTTCGTGAACACCGGACCAAGCTCAGGGCAGCGGAGAGGAAATGGCGCAAATCAAAAGACACATCTGACCTCAGTAGGTATCAATCTCTGCTCTCTGCCTTCTCTGTTGATGTTCACGCCGCAAAATCTTCATATTTCCACAACAAGATCAACAGCGCCTCTAACACACGTTCACTGTTCAAGACATTCAATTCTCTCCTCTGTCCACCTCCACCACCACCCACCTCCTCGCTAACTGCTGATGATTTTGCTAACTTCTTCACTAACAAAACTACAACTATCAGCAGTCAGTTCTCAGCACAGGAACCCAGACTAACCTCTCCCACAGCCAATAACCTTCTCTCCTCCTTCACTCCACTAACCGAGGAAGAAGTATCTAAACTTCTCCTCTCCAGTCATCCTACCACCTGCCCTCTAGACCCCATCCCCTCACACCTTCTACAAGCCATCTCTCCCACACTTCTACCAGCTCTCACACACATTATCAACTCATCCCTCCACACTGGCATTTTCCCTACAGCATTTAAGCAGGCTCGGGTAACTCCTCTGCTTAAAAAATCAACATTAAACACATCACTTCTAGAGAACTACAGACCTGTCTCTCTCCTACCATTCATTGCGAAAACACTTGAACGAGTTGCTTTTAACCAAGTATCATCCTTCCTGTCTCTGAACAACCAGCTGGATGTCAACCAATCTGACTTCAAGAAAGGACATTCAACTGAGACTGCACTTCTGTCGGTCACAGAAGCCCTGCGGATCGCAAAAGCTGCTTCCAAATCATCAGTTCTCATTCTACTGGACCTGTCTGCTGCCTTCGACACTGTGAATCATCAGATCCTCTTGTCCGCCCTCTCATCACTGGGCATCACTGGAACCTCCCTCAACTGGTTTGAGTCCTATCTCACAGGTAGGTCCTTCAAGGTCACATGGAGAGGTGAGGTATCCAAAGCACATCAACTGACCACAGGCGTTCCTCAGGGGTCAGTTCTCGGACCGCTCCTCTTCTCCATTTACACCACATCACTGGGACCTATCATACAGGCACATGGTTTCTCTTACCATTGCTATGCTGATGACACCCAGCTCTACCTCTCATTTCAACCAGATGATCCCACAGTAGCTGTACGGATCTCAAGCTGTCTGGCGGACATCTCGGCATGGATGAAGGAACATCACCTGCAGCTCAACCTGGCAAAGACTGAGCTTCTCGTCCTCCCTGCCAATCCGTCTCTACAGCACGACCTCACTATCCAGCTAGATTCATCCTCAATCACCCCATCAAGGTCGGTCAGAAATCTTGGAGTAATCTTTGATGATCAGCTGACCTTCACAGACCACATTACAAAGACAGCTCGATCATGCAGGTTTGCTATGCACAACATCAGGAAGATCAGGCCTTTCCTAACTGAGCATGCAACACAACTTCTCGTCCAGGCCCTGGTCATTACTAGGCTTGATTACTGCAATGCTCTTCTGGCTGGACTTCCATCATGTGCAACTAAACCTCTACAAATGATCCAGAATGCTGCAGCTCGTCTTGTCTTCAACGAGCCCAAAAGGGCCCACGTCACTCCTCTGCTCATCTCTCTGCACTGGCTACCACTCGCTGCTCGCATCAAGTTCAAGGCTTTGACGCTTGCTTACAGATTGACCACAGGTTCAGCTCCCTCCTACTTCCACTCACTATTACAAGTCTACATCCCTACCAGAAGCCTACGATCGGTCAATGAGCGACGGCTCGTGGTACCATCACAGCGGGGCACAAAATCACTCTCCAGAACATTCTCATTCACGGTTCCATGCTGGTGGAATGATCTCCCCACCCTCATCCGGAATGCAGAATCCCTGACAACATTCAAAAGACAACTGAAAACTCATCTCTTCCGGGAGCACTTAACATAAAAAAAAAAAAAAAAAAAAATCCTTTCCTCTAAATCCTCGCTTGCCTGGCTTATGCTACTCCGAGCTATGTCTGAACTTTGTATTTTGAGCACTTCTTGCGTTGCTTTTGCCTCTTCACGATGACTCGCTTGGTTTAGTCCTCAGTTGTAAGTCGCTTTGGATAAAAGCGTCTGCTAAATGACTAAATGTAAATGTAATATTCCTCAACTTAAAAAAAAAAAAAAGGAATGTAGTTTCATCACTACCTCCGCCTGCAACTCGGAGTGCGCTTAGCAACACAGTCAGAAATCAGAAAGAAAGTACATATTTACCTACAATTTTACAGATGTTAGTTCAATTTTGTTTATACTTAGTGTTAATACAATATGAGCCTGTATGACTTCACAATTGCTTTGTTTATAGCCGACTGATTATTTATTTATTTTACTCACATTTGATTTGCTTAGAGCAAATTTAGAACATTTAGTTTCTCCACATAGAGGAATTACAATAAAACAGATTGAAAAACCTTTGAATCTCCTCTCATTCTTGGTTCAGGCTGCCTCACTTGATGGGCCATTAGCCATTG